TATTCACTATTATTGTGCATTCTACATTTAAATTTTAAAACTAATTAATTCATTTTTCTCAGACATTATAGGTGCGATAATTAATAATTTAAAAATAGTACGTATATCATTCATCGATACATAAGACGTGCAACAGATATCCTTACTACTAATTTGTTAAAAACACAATCATGTTTGCCGCACCCCTCGAGTCCACGGTTACGCGCCTTCAACGGTTTCTCGGTGTGGTTGATTAGGTAAAAAGCATCCTCGATTTTTCAATCAACAACTCTGTTTTTCATAATTTTACAATTTTCGTCAGAGTAGAATCAGATTCCAAGCCCAAGTAAACAGCACAAATCGTAAGCTATACAATTAATTAGAGAAAAGGAAAAATCCAGATAGCACACCAATATGGAGAAAGTGATGAATGTTCTGAAGCCGAAACCAAATCCGCAGCAGCTACTGAGAGATTGGCAGCGTAAGCTCCGGCAAGAGTGCCGCAACATTGAACGCCAGATCCGAGGTCATTATTTTGTTTATTTTTCAGAATTACTTTTTGGGGTTTTTTATTTTTTATTTTTTTTAATTTGATTGTTGGATTTTTTGTTTACTGAGATTTTAATTTATTTTTCTGGTGGGTTTTGTTTAGATATACAGAAAGAAGAGAAGGGTGTGCAGAAAGCGATCAAAGAGGCTGCTAAAAGAAATGACATGGGTTCTGCTAAGGTTCTTTTGACTATAATTCTGTGTAATCTGAAGCTAATTTTTTGATATTATTACTTATATTTCTTATTGAGTTATAATTAGTGATTACTTGGTTAACTTGGCATGATTTTTGTGCAATTTATTCGATATATTGATTGAATTTTATTTGGAAGTTTTGATTGTTAGCGGTTTTTATGCATTTTATTTGAAGGATTCGTAAATTGAGGGATAAAAGGCTTCAACTTTGGTTGATTACCCATGCATTATGTATCGACAAAATATGCCCTAGATATTTTGTACTAAACTTTCCTGTCATTATGAGTTAGAAGTGCTAGTTAAGCCCCCGTTTGGCCCCCATTTTCAGAAAATGAAAATGAGTGGAATAGTATTTTTTTTGAAAAATAAGTGGTTGAAATAGAATGAAAAGTTTTCGAT